AGCAGGAGAAGCAGAATGAATTCTTGGTTTACTGCAGTAAATTCCATTTAATTCCATTACTTAAGTATCAAAGTATATCTTGCCAAGAGGAAATGTGTTGTAGCACATTGTGAGCACCTTTCAAGTGTTGTCTTATTAACTAACGAGCAACTAACAAGACCACTGTTAAAGTCTCCTGATGACATCTGCAGGCTGATGCTGGAGCTCAATTAAAGGAAGACTGGAATGATTAAACTTTGTTAGAACTTTTAATTTCTTACATATTTTTTTAAGATGGATTGATCTTGGTGTTTCTATAAATGTAAATGGTACTGATGACTGTTGAGACAGCTGATACTTTTTTCTAAAATATTTTTGAAATTCCAACAATGGAAATGGAATGACATTTCCTGTTAAATACAAACTGTTTAATCAGTAATACTTACGTGCTTTTCCAGGTGATATTTCAGCGATTCATCTTCTTGTTTTGTATAAAATCAGCTGACTTCAGTAGGGTCAGGAAGTTTTGTCATTAACTCCAGTGGAAGTAAAATACAATACTCTATTTTGCTGTCAACAGTTGTATTGCTTCTTTCTTCCTTTTCTACTTCACAGCAACAGCGTACCAGTGCAAATCCTGCTGTAATTAAACACCTAAGAGTATGCATTTATAGAGTCTGGGGAAAGTGGTTTCCATTCAATACCAAGATTTTTATCATTTACTTACAGTGATTGAAATGCCTTGTTCCAACAAAATTTTCACTTAAATGTATAGTCAGGCCTCTTAGAGCTTACAGTGATTCTTTATATTCCACTGAATATAAAAAGGAAAAGGGAAATCTACACTGCGTTGGTCTTGCACCATTTTGTCCTTGTGATGAGTGCTTCAAAAATGCATACATAATATTCAGAGAAGGTTATACAGCTTTAATAATGATAAAATATTTTGTAACTTATTCTTTTCACTTTTTTTGAGCTATTTCTGGGAACAGTCGTCCCTATGTGTGTGAGATATGTTAATTTTGTGCTTCCAATGGTGCTCACATTACTAGTGCCTTGATGACAATCCCATTGCCTGCTCTGCTGGTGTGCCTCATGCTGCTCTGCAGTTGGGTCCTCTCTGCCATGAAGACAACTTAGTCATACTTCTGCCAGGCTAATGCCACAGGTTCTGTTTATCCTGGATTTTGTCATTTGAATGTTTGTTTTGGAAGAAACGAACTCAACCTTTTTACAGATATGCCACTAAGTGACCTGAAGATATTCCTTCCCTTTCTTCATTGTTCCTTCACATTGTAGTAATGGTATTGTGAGCCAAAGATAAAGGAAACCTGACTTAACTATCAGGTTCCCTAAAGACAATTCCTTTTATTTGTAAAACAGTATACGAAATACAAAGTGAGTATCTTGGGACTAACAATATAAAATTAGAAGACAAACCAGAGGAAATATTTGAAAACTAGCTGCTTACTTTGTTTATTCACCAGCTCCGAAGTCAAGTATGTGTCATTGCTGTTTGTGAACTCTATAGAAGAGAAGTCACAAAAGATGACATACGTGAAGATGGGCATTTCTTAGCTGTACTGTTCATCTGTGTCCAGCACTGTTAGGGTTGGTACTAACAGTCACTTGGAAATAAGGAACTGTTGTCCTTGGCTTTTCTATTAATTGTTTTATCTTATTCATAAAACTTAAACCAACCAGATGAAGTAACTGGGTCATATGCAGGGTGTATGGTCTTATGTACCTGCTTGTGATTAGTGAAAGAGAAGAAAATACCACTGCAGTTATGAGCAGGACTGCTAATTTTTCTGAACCTTGGCTTTATATAAGACTTCTACTTGCATGGGAATGGCAGTAACATTCCTCTTGAAATACCACGCCTAGATATTACAAGAAAGTCAAGATGTTTCTCAGTCAGTATCTAAATGGCAAAATGTAAACTGATTTTCGAGGTGGTGGATGTGAGTGGGTGTCATAGCTGTGTCCCAGCTCCTCCTTGGGCTGGATCCAAACACACAAATCTATTCATGTTTCCTGGCTGCCATGTGAAGAAAATTAAAGCATGCAGGACAAAAGGGAAGCTCTGACCAAGTGCTCAGTTTTCACAGCTGTGTGAGAAAGATCCTGAGGCATGTTGTGGCGCATGTCTGCCCTGTGATTTAAATGTAACTTCTATTCACCAACTTTTTTGTTGCCGCCTTCCTGTCCCTAACCCCAGATGTTGTATTTAGGTACCTAAATACCCCTTCGGTATACCTTCATCCGCCATTCATATAAATGGAGGATATACTCGTTGTATTCCCTCTCTTGCTTTGTTAGCTTGTAGGGATTTTGGAATAGAAACCCTGCATCAAAGGTGATAAGCTGAATATATGATGATGCATTTGTGAATCTCCTGCTAGTCACAACATCTAGTATGTGAGCATTATGGCTGCAGATTGAAGTGTACTGTTGAAACATTTACAGGACACAGTATAGAGTTTCATAATTTTAAGTTATGAAATCAACTCTAATTTAATTAAAGCACTTATGCAGAAAGAACTGAAGATGCTTTTCAGGAAGTATAGGAGTAACCAAGTTAAGCTGTGAGTGCCTGTTGCTTTTATTTGTTTTTGCAAGCTGGAACGAGGAGGAGGGGAGATGCCGTTCTGTTTGCTTGTCCCTTGAAAGATGACAGTTGGGAGCTGTAGGCAAATGAAGAGATCTGAGGCGCTGCTGGGTATCAAGTCAACAGTGCTATCCTGTTACCGTGGTCTGTTGGAGGACAGCCCTGCTGTGTTCAGATGCAGCATCAGCAGATCATTGAACCCTTGTGGTTTCAGTGATGAACGGGTCGATTTTTTGAGCCATGACGTACTAGTCACCAGTTACTTATTTTTTTGTGTAGGTTGTGTAGGTAAGAGAGACATAAAAAGATCAGGGGATAGAGCAACTGAGGATTCTGGCAGTAAACTTTTACTTCTGTCTGTGCATCTCTGGTGACCATTTAGTAG